ATTGATTCAGAGCACAAGTGTAGTTGTTCTAATACGATTTCTAAATATTTGATAACAAGTTTATCTCTTACTTTAGTGAATTAGGCATAAATATGTGTATAATACCTCTAACATTCAAACATAAATTTTTAACCCATAGCTTGATGGTCAATGCTATAATTACATAAAATTTCGAACGAATATTAGTTTGATAAGCTCATTTCTGAGAATTACGTGATATGAATTTTTAAAATAGAGTCCAATACGATGATGAATAAATTTTGAAATAATAATCACAGTCTTCTAGATGAGGCTTTCAAAGGTATATATAAGGTTAGATAAATTTTCTTTAAGGGAATATAGGCCAAATATTTATGAACACTAGGATCTCCAACAAATTAAACCTGATTTGTTCAACCTCACATTTTACTTTTGTCTTAAAAGACGATAATAATAAAGTCCTTAGAATATTGACGAGACTGTTTCCGATTATATTTTGATCAATTATATCATTCTTTTTAATACTGAAAATACTCTTACTCACTTTTAAATGATACAATACCCATACTTTGTACTGTACACTAATGCACATCAATTATAGTAAAATAAAATAAAACTAGTAGAACGAACAAGGCAACCGGTTTAATAGATTAAATATGTGCTCTAAGCTGAAGTGACTATAATATAATATATTCCACTGTAGCATAAATATATAAATTTACATTATGTCACTCAATTAGATTCCTATTCATCCCTAACTTCAGTCTATGTTAAATAAAGGCATTTTGTCAAATAAATACTGAAATCAATTTAATCTTATCTTTGCTAACCAAACTACCTTTTACTTTTATAATGTTTTCAATTTCTAAGTTACTTTTTTCTCATTTAAAGACACTTCCTTAAACATTCAAATATAACTTCATAACATTTGATCAATAAACATAAAACTAGTCATGAAAATGTTTAGGGCATTTCCTAACACTAATTAACTTTTCTTGTTTAATATAACCTAAATGTTGTAAAAAAGAACAAAAAAGAACTCGGCTAAATTAAACATAAACCATACAGAATTATCTGCAATCTTCATTAATAAACCACATAGATCGTCTTCGTTTTACATACATAAAGTTAAATTTAACTCATGTCTTTAGTTTTACTGTTTATTTCCTTCTCAATTATTCAAAGTAGAATAATTTCATAATTTTAAATGTCAATTCTGATATTATCAATGTATGTTCAGTTTTCCTTTTAAACACAGTAAGTATTACATTGAAAGATAGGGATAATAGAATGATGTTTATAAATTACATCGTTTCTGTAATTCATTTTAATTAATGATATCGAATATGATCAAATGTAAAGTTTATTTATAAAGCAGGAAAAAAAATAGTTGTGGTATCAATTGAACTATAGTTGTTCTGTGAATTTATCTCAAAAGGTTACTCATGTATAGGTAACAATTATAATCATGAGGTTAATTACACGAGTAATAGTGTAGAAGTAATACATAGATAAATTGCAGTATATGCTATTTATGTTTGCAGATGTAAGTTGTATGTGACACTAGTTGGAAGTGGATTGTCTACGAGCAGAATGTTTCAAAAGATTGAAATGAAATGGAGAGAGAGAGAGAGAAGGAAACTGAAAACAATCAAGATGACAACAGTTATGGAAAAAACAAAAACAATGTAACTTGCAAAAGATAATTCAAAGATGATATGCAAATAATGTATTTGATGTGTGGTTTTCACATTTTACTAAACCATTATGTGACTGCGCATTTTACTCAGTCGAGTGTTAATTCACTACAAAATGGCATATTCTTTTTCAAGAAAAATTATTCTAAAACAGATGTGTAAAGGTGCATAGTGGCTAGCAATGAAATGCAGGACGCGCGTTTCGTCCTATTTAGGACTCGTCAGCCGGATGTACCTGCATCTCAGAGTTGATGTTCATTCCAGGACTCGAACCCAGTACCGTTCGCTTCAAACGCCATTGCGTTATCGACTTAGCTACTGAGTCCTGATAACCACCTCCTTGTACGATGGGTTGAAGCTTAAATTCACTTGGTGTTGTCTGAGATGTTTTACTTGTTTTACTTACACATGAAACTGATCAATAGCAATCCTAAATAACAATGGGAAGATACAAGTAAAACAAAGCCAATTGAATTTAGATGTTATGTAATTTTCAATAAAATCTAAAGTTTATTACCAAGATACACGAGAAAAAAATAGAGTGAAATCACATACATTCTTTAACTTCACAGTACTCTAATAGAACATTTAAATGAAAATCACATTCATAGGTAACAACATAGCAATGTAGAATATTTCAAAAATAATTAATCAATAAAATAAGATCATTTATGTATTCATTTCGTGGTATTATATTACTCAAAAATGTTATTATTTCTTTTAAATAGTGAACCTTTATATTGCAAGTTTTTGATAATTAATTATCATTATTTAAGTACATTTTATTATTGACACGAATTTATATTACCTTTAATCTATTTGTTTTTCCTTTGTATAAGTATTTCTGTATTTGAAATAAGTTCCATCCTTAAATACCTCATAATTCTATATAATTTCTAATCAGTTATAAAAAACTATTAGTTGAAATTTGTTTTTATCTTTGGTTTAATTAATAAAAGACTCAACTTATGAGATGGTGAAGAACAAAACTCCACCAAAAAGACTCAACTTAATTCATTAGCAACAAGTAATTCGTTAAACAACATACAACATAAAAAGAGTACTCAATCAGATAAAAAAAACACTTGAATGTTTATACTATTTATTTCCTCATTATAGAACACTTAGTTCCCAATTAACAGCTGTTCATTGATTTTTAAACATGTGATCAAAGTAATTGATTTGTTTATACAAATTGTCAATTATTTTTTAATTGGAAGTGAAGTAAATTTATTAAAAATCCTATAAATTCACCTTCTGACTTACTTTATTTAAATATAAAGATTTTTTGTAAGTTGAATTCATGAGTCAATCTAAGCTAGTCCATCATTAAAAATCTGAAAGCACTGAACGGCGGTTTTGCCTTAATTCCCGCATCCGAGTCGTTACCTGTGGAATCAAGGATGCGCAATGCTGAAGAGTCCCATACTCAGATGAAATGGCCATCCATTAATTCCAGATTTCTAATGGTGGTTAAGTCTACTCATGAATTCGACTGTTAATATATATATATATATATATATATATATATATATATATATTGAATTCACAAGCAATAACGTGTAATTAAAGTTCTCGAGGCCTGCGAAAATGAATAACTCGGAATAAATTCGTCTTTGAGATTTCTTATTTCTGGGATAATTAAATTAAATTATAACTACTTACCTGTACGTAGCTACTACCTTGATGTGTTGGTCGGGCTTGCTTATAGTGATGAACCAACCGAGCTATATGGGCTGGAACATATATTCCTGTAGGTTCTACCATGCCAGGCAGGTCGATTGGAGAACGGTAAGACTAAAAGCAGCAACTCAAGGTCTGAGGATGAAGTCGTACTGCTGACTGTAGAGGAGTGTGACAGCAGTAAGGTGTTTCCTTCGGACAACCAGCATCTGCAGCAGTTCTGCCTTCTCACAAGGAAGGAAGGTGTTAGAAAAATTCGGCCCTAAAAATGTCACGCCTCACCTTACCTCACGGATTTCCGTCTCCAGCGGCAGGGCATGTTGAAGAACGGGGCTAACACGTTAAAAACATCCCACAAAAAGGCCGTGCGCGACTGGCCTCAAGCAGTTGTCCCTTGGCTCTGCAGTCGCGCTCCTAAGTCGTTAAGACCAACACTAATCCGACTTTCTTTTCAGGTTCCTCAAGAAATACCCTTCCACGGCGTGGGCAGCCGGGAAGTGATATCGGCCCTCATACCTGTAACAGCACACGAGACCAAGTTGGTCATATTCAAATCCTTTTTACACCTCCTAACACCTCTCTTATCTCCATGACTAGCTCTTCTCGCTTCCATTTATCACCTCGCACCACTAAGGCAGACGATCCGAATACGCGGAACGTTATTCCTGGTCTGCTGAAACCACGCGATTTGAATCAACAATTGTATCTCTGTGTTAATGTGGTATGGCAATTTAAACTGATGTACATACGCACGAAGTTCTACGTGGTTACTGACTGACAGCTAGTTAAGACGGATAGAGGTATACTGTCAAGAAGACTTTTCTAGAAATATAAACTGAACTAGGCAAGTCTTTTATAACTTGTAAACCAAGCTTAGAAGAGTTAAATTGAACGGAATATGTCAATAACGCAATCGAAATATTTGCTTTGGCGGAAAATCTTATCGTAAGATTGATGGGATGAAACCTTAGTATTCAATAAGTCGATATTAATACTCCTGTGTTGTGTTGATGATTGCAGATTTAAACTAAAATATATTACTTCATGTTGTTCAAATTTTTTATCCTTTCTTCCTGACTTATCTAGATATATTCCTCAAAGTGCATGCATTTTCTGTACATGGAAATCTGTTTTCAGAAGTCACAAATTTAGAATTACGTAATACATGATGGTAACAATTGTATATTTACATATTTCGCCTATCAAACTATTTCATTTGTTTAACTTAACTAATATTAATAATTAAAAAGACTGAATATACTTTGAAATACGATTAGTTAACAACGATCTAGCGGGGTGCGGGGTCGTGGATGCGCACTGTTTAGGACTCCCATACTAGGACGAAACGGCCGTCCAGTGCTTCCAGGTTTTCCATGGTGGTCTAGCTTCAATTGACACATGATTTCAACCAGTGAAATAAATTTAAGATCAATCAATTCGATTATTATTATATTTCCAGTTTATATTTCATAACTACCGAATATTGGGTAAATAAAAATTCCTCTATCATAAATGATCATAATGTTGTTTACATTTATACTATAAATTAACAAAATTAATAAAAACAAACGAAATCAATCACAATTATGAAGTAAATGAACATTTAAAGATGATACTAATAACACCAAACTTTTCTCTTACCATTTCATCCCAACATAATTGTTCATATTTTTGTATTTCTACAGATAAATGTTGTAACAACAATTGTCTTCGTTTATATAATCTATCAATTAATAGTTCTTCATTATTGTTATTAAGTGAACTCGATTCATTTTGGTTATCAATCAATATTTGATTGTCTACATCATTTGTAGAATAATTTTGACTGGATACATTGTTAGTTGATATACAATGACTAGAATCATAAAATGTAGAATTATTAGGATAAGTATTGATTTCTTTTTTTGTTTTATTATTATCTGACTGAATTACATCCATAACATTATCATGTGTATTGGTCTGAATCACGACCATTAGTTAATTGGTCACGGTAGATTGATTATTCAAGAATGTGATTTTCAAATGTTGAAGAGTAACAAAAGTCCACAAACATTTTAACATAGTTCTTAATTATAATAATCCTTTTGGCTACATGGAATTTAAGCCACATATTGTTCAATTTACGATAACTCTCCTTATAGCCAACTTTTGTTTTATTAAATCTAAAAGTGTATAATACAGAAAACTGCTATTAAATAAATACAAGGAAATCGAGATAAATGTAAAAACACCTTGTAAAATAAATATCAGTTATACTTAACATCATGGTATCCTTTTAGTTAAACAACTGTTGAAAGTCAAAAAACACTAGACAACGTTTCAGCCTTAATGTAGAACTTCTGGGCAGTATGCATCCAGGACATCATCAGGTATCGAAAATAGGACCTTAAAATCTATTAACAAGCACTTAATCTTTAGAACACTTAGCCAACAAGTAAAATTTAGGGAGTTTAAAACCAATATTTTTTACGAATTCCTTAAACAGTATTATTCAAAACTTTGATAAAACAAAAAACGTTAACGTCTTGCTGTTTTAAAATAAATATGACAATTCTAGATTGTATAAATGCTAAAAGGATTTCAAGGACTGGTTTTATTTCATAAAATGAACTCTTCAAACTAATGTGATGATGATTTCATTCTCCGAAATGATGGTATCTATTTAGTTATAGATAAACCGTATGATCTCTTTTATCTGTTCGAATTTATTCATGAATAAAATCGCTGATCCTTGTTAGTACGGTCTATTATCAACGGTGTCCTAACAGAACATATATATAACATGGTGATTTATATGGTCATCAAATTTATTCTCGACAAAGACGCAATACCTTATGTGACCTCAGATCAAAATCAGTTGAGTGGAAATTGAAATAGTTACTTAAAAATTATTATGTCACTTATTTGCAGTCATTAAATTTTCTGTCCATGTGTTCAATCACATCGACTTTATTTAAATCGTCTCTCCAATATGATGATACATATCCATTTCTGAACAATCTCATTTATTAAAGTATTGTTGATTTGTGTGCGTAATTTCTGGTTTTCTTAAATAATAAAGGTTGTATTTAGTTGATGAGGACCAAGCAAAACCCTTGATCTGGGTATTATTCAATTTTCATCTTTCAAAATGTCTTGAATCATCCAAGCACTAAATGTTATCACTCGGATCCATGTTTATATTTATCGATTTGTAAATATGCTCATGGATTCATGTTGCTTGTGTACGAGCTTTATAAATGGATTTCATCTACGGAAACATAGAAGGTCATTGAGATTATGAAACATATGACCTTACGAATGTAGTTGACATACAGTCACCTTGACAGGGTGGTGTCTTTTATGAATTACTAACTAGATGAATAATGAAAAATGTTTTATACACTGAGTACCAGGTAAGTATTTATGCGCAAATGTGTAGACATAAACAAAGATACATTCCGAAAGAAACGAAATAGAAATCTTCAGTTCAACTTCTCGTAACTTCTATTTTCATACAGCAGAATAAATTTCTATAAATAATACCATTCTATTTTAATACATTTTATCGGTAGACATAATGATCTCATATAAAATCGATTGATGTTATGAAGTCTTACAACGCTCATAACACCTTCAGATTGTTAAGTTGCCATAAACTAAATCACATTTTCAAATTCGGTGACACTGTAATCGAAACTTCAACAACCATCCAATACCATCAATGATGTATGACTTATTGTGATATATTTTTTAAACTGCTAACGTTTTGATAAAATACAGAATGAGCTCAAGTGCTATTAGAAATTTTGTTCAGTTTATTACTAGTATGGTATCATCACTGATGTATGCTTTGCCTTCCAATCAATGTTTGTAAATTCCAGATAATCTTTCAGATGTATCATTCCCATATACTGAACAATTACTTTCTTTTATATATCAATCAGTAAATTTTAGTGAACATTGATTTTCGATAGTTTATATACGAAAAAATTCATACGAGTTCATAAGATGAACTACGTTTCAGGAGAAAAAAATAATTTCATTTCAATGTTCCAACTTATATACTTTATTTTTAATAAATGATAATTGAAATGACCTTTTTTAAATGAAAGATAGAAAAGCGTTAAAATAATTTTTATCAGTATGGGGATGTGCAGATTGTTAAGTTCGTAATTGAAATTATAGATTGGTTGGTGTCAGACCATCATTGAAAAACTAGGCTGTTTCGGCCTAATATGGAACTCCTCAGCTGTGCGCATCCATAATCGTGTACGTAGGGTTCTAACCCAAGACCTTTGGTTCAGCGCTTCCTGGTTTTTAATGATGACCTAACACCAATCGATTAATGATCAAAATTAAAAAAATTTTTGTTTATATATATAGTTGGATAGTTTTATTATCGTTTTCGAAATGTTTCTTGATGTCTTATCAACAGTCGAATATAATGGAAAATATTTCGTCCAATATTCAGCATATGAGGAGGTGTTCAGTAGATATCGTTATATAGTTCAATGATTCGAATTTCTGAGCAGTTATTTTCGACGTTATAAATGAACGCATTGTTTTTATTAAGATTCAACTCTAATGTATTGAGGATGTATGTCATTAACATAACTAAATTGCAGAGCATAATCTATTTAGCATTATAATGATCAGTCACCTTTACCAAATGCAGTGTTTTCACAGATCATTGTGTGATGTAATTGAGAGTTTTATATAAAAAGGACTCAGTGAATATTTACTGTAAACACTAACAATCTTGAGTGATTTAATTCAGGTTATTATTATAAAAGTATGGAATCGGATATGTAATGTGATTTCGATAATGAATTGTTAACCACATCCTAATTCATCATAAACATTCATAAATTTGATTTACGTTGTCCTATAAATTTATAACTTCCTAAATGGACATATCATATGACTTATGATCTCATTTTTTATGGTCTGATTCCAGAAAAATGAAATGATGATACTAACAAACAGTGGGGAACATAGCTGCTGTATAATTAAGTTAATGAATATAGAGCTTTCTAGCAAATATAATTATTAGGCAAATGAACTATGCATAATAAACAGTAAAGTTTATATAATGATTTGTAGACGATGAATATGAGATTGATATTAATGTCTGTGACATTATTTTTACTACGACCGTTTCTAATATGAACAATGATGAAATCGATAACAATCCTAATAACATCACTTAATTGGCTCTTTTAACAATTGTATGGGAATATAAAAACAGAAAACGTTTTCTATCATTTTAGAACCTAATAACCCCGTTGTCAGAAACATTTTTTTTAATGTAAAATTTTGGTTAATTTATCCAGTTTGAAGATTTCATGATAGACAATAAAAATGTTATTGATTGAGCAACAAAATCTAGATACCCATTCCTTGAATTTAGCTTTAAAATGTCTTTCAACAGTCTACAGTGACCCATTATAATCATGATAAATAAATCTACTAGAGCCATAATCAGATCATTAAATCAACTGAATATGGAATATGTCATCTCATCTCAAAACACAAACTCAATTTTTAATATTACTTTCTAATAGACATATATATATATATCAATATTTTGGATAATGGTCAACTATAGATTAGGAAATGTGGGTTCTTACGCGTTTAAAACTCATCATTCTGAAGTCCCTACATCTTAGTATTGATATTTGGACTGAGAATTGAATCAAGGAATCATAAATTCAAAAGTTTAAAAATGGTTATCTCGATTTACTTTTAAGTATAAACAAAAATACTAAATCAAATGATGAGATGAACCATGAAGATGTTTAACGTATAAAGTAACTGAATATCGAAATGAGACTTAATCATATCAAAAGAAAATCAGATATCAACAAACTTCAACTATTTGCTTTTCTATCGGTGAAACTGTTTACTGCAGTACCATGTAAATTAATCACAAGTAAAGTGTATAATAATATTATGATTAGCAGTTACGATATTTATATTGTAATAATACAACAGTATGTCGCCAATGACAATATAGTAACAAAACATTTGAGTCTACAATAAGTTAGAAAGTATATGTAACTGTTGTAATAATTGTTCTTTTTTAAAGAAACAAAAAGCCTTGTATTGACATTTATCAATTGATAAAGAGTATTGTCTTGAATTTTGAGGTTTGAAAGATACAGCGAACTCATAAAAAATAACATTTAGTAAATTACTACTTACTCAGTATTCAGGAAATTCTTTACGACTAGTCCTTTCCTATTGAACTATGACATTAAACAAAACTTGGTATTGAAACTAAGTCTCAAAACTTTTTCGTACTAATCAAATAACATATTCACTTGGTATCGTTTTACTTAAATCTTCCCATTAAATTTTAAGACTGCAATTGATCAGTCTGTTTGAAGCGAATGTTACTGGGTTTGAGACTCAGAGTGAATATCAACTTCCAGATGCAGGCACATTCAGCTAATGAGTTTTAAATAGGACAAAACGCGCGTCCTGAATTCCATTGCTAGCCACTATCCATCTTTGCTTACAAATAACATATTGTCTAATTTCTTTATCGACATTTTCTAAACAAAACTGATCAGATAATAATGAATTACATTTATTTATGTAATGTATATAAGTTGAATCAATCCCTTTGATGAAATCATTTAAGTATTATTCATCTTAAACAATCTTGCATAGTGATTAAAACGTATGAATGAAATCCAATAATTAATTCTCTTTTTTTCTAGTCAAATATTCGTTTAGTAACAAGTTTCGGTAAATGAATATTGTTTCTGCGATTTACAATCAATGATGTCAAGCATTGAAACTGTCTAGAAAAAAAATGGAATACTAAAGTATAGTTGACAAATATTTTACAGAAAAAACTATAGAAAATTACTGAGAATACGGATATATTATAATCAAAACTTCATACATGTAGGTTATTAGTTGGAACATTATCCATAAGATGAATGTTTTATCTGCACTTTCGAAAAGTATAATGTTTATTACCCAAGTAAGGTAATGGTGTAATCAAATAGAATTGACTTTGATGAGTAGTTTTATGGATGGAAACGATCACACGGATACAACCAAAATAGCAGAAATAAATTAACATTAAAACTTGTTAAGATAAATAATCTTTACAGTTACAATAAGAAACTAAGATGACAGTCACCATAAAGCCTTCGGTCTGACACGATTCTCTGTGCTTAACTAGAATAAATACTTAAGCAAAGAAGTTTATGAAATGCACATAAATCAAGTCGGTTAAAAATTGTTTTCTGATACGGAAGATTTAGTATGGTATATATATGAAAAATTAGACATTATAATTTGAAACGTTGGGTGAGACATTGTAATATTGTAACGTGTGCTACTGATGTCGACAGATATAAGTAATACGTATCATCAATCAAAAGTGAAATGTCTGGTTGCAGGAGGTTAAGAATATCAAAGAAAAAAGAACGAGAACAAAGAATGATTGATGTGGAAATGAAAGAACAATGAAGTCTGAGACGATTGATTGACATTTTGCAAATGAAATATTTACTATATGATTCTCAGATTTTACTTATATGTTCTGGAACTTTGTATTCAAATACATTCTCTTATCCCCACTTGTGTTCTCGTTCACTACAATATAATCAGTATCTAAATATTTTTCTTATTATTTCAAGATCTCAGTGAAGCACAGTTTTTGTCCTCTATTAAATTTTACTTCCTTTTCATTCTGATCATTAAGCATCACTGTCCATGTTCTTACTTTATTCTCAACTATACACTACTTAAAATGAATTAATAGAAACATTGTGCTAATGTAAACAAAATCAAACTGTCTGGGATATTCTTTACTTGAAATACATTTAATTTTTAAATATAAAATTACATTGTGTATTTTACTCTTACATCTTGAAATTATCATTATAAAACTAGACTCCTATCTGAAGTTTGTGCTGATAATGTCGTTCAGAAGAACGATGAAAGCTCCACGACCAAATCATCCAGCTCAGAGAATAAAACTCTATCAAAATCTAGTTTAAATATAAATTATCAAAGGATGAGTAAAGACTGATATTTGTCATGTAGTTTTTATTATATAAATTTGATTACACTATACTTAATCATGTCTACTCATCAATATCATTCAATGGAAGATGTATGTATATTCACCCAGAGATTTTATTTTTATTATTTGCAAATTAGTTAATAATGTGTTGTATAAGGAATATCTACGTAAATGGTTTTACAATCACACATTGAGATTGTTACTATTCTTAAGCATTGTAATATTTCATTAGTAAGGTAAATGTATGTATGAATATGTTGTTAAGTTATTATTCCTTTAAAGCGGATCAATAATGATAGATATATGTCTATAAGTCATAAACCAAGTAGGTTCTGATGTAAATGTTCATGGACTCACTCTACCACTTTTCATATAAACACAAAATGTAGGAGCAAGCAGGATGAAGGGGTCAAAATTACAGTAATAATATTGATAGTAAAGGAATTAAGTATGATGGAAATCGTCTGAACAAATTCAATAAAATAAGATATGAAATTATAGTGTGATATTTTGAAGATAAAACAAATATTTCATACATTTTGATGGCTTGATACATTTAAAAAACAGAGTAAGAATAATAAGATTGACTGAATAAAGTGAATTCAATCTATTTCAAGGATTCTAATCCGCTACACACAGCCTAAAATTTCATTGACTAACCTAATTATAAAAATGGTTTGACGTATATTGGTAGGGGACGTTGACACGCACGTTGAAAGCCGAACAAAAATCATAATAAGTGGGATATGGTACTGATTATATGATTAAATGTATTGAAGGTGGATGAGCTTTATAGTGAAAAAAATGTCATCCAGAGTAGAAATATGGATATATTTTCCAACAGAAACAGTAATGACCACAGTGCACTTAATCGGTTTCTTAATCAGTCGACATATTTAGAATCAAACAATCAAATTAATGTTTCAAAAATAACATACTGTAAGCCGCAAACATCATTTGATTAGATTACGACTAACATGGCAATAAAATACATACCACAAAATTTCCTTCTGTATATGTAACAGGATGTGAATATCCAACAACAATTGCTTTGGTGAAACAGAGTTGATGTCGATCATTTGTTCGTAACTACGAGGGCCTTATAAGTGTTCAGATTATGTTCATTATCCACAACTATACTGCCTTATAGACATACGTTTCCGGGAGCATTCGGAAAAATTTATGGGAACCCTTCCATAAGTTCTTTTGATTTACTAGTTACGAAACGTCCACATAAATCCATTAATCAGACTGGAGGTTACTTCGGGAATATATTAGTCCACAACTAAAATGATTAAATGAACATTTAGTGTTGTACAATGAGATCAGTCTAACTTTAAAACAGCTTCTTTTCAGTTCCGCCCTTAATTTTCCATCGATTCTTCTTGAAAACTGAACTCTTTTGAATGGAAGATAAAAGAAGACAGACTATCTATAAATATCCGGTTATTTGTGATGTTTAGATTGTTCTTTTCTAGTGAATATTATAGGCTACATGCGACTGGAGAAAAGACTTGAAACAAAAGAAATTCAATTCATTGTTTAAATATAAAAATATACTCATTTCACCATCATCTCGTTTACCATGATAGGAAAAATGCAAAACTTTGTTTAATAGATGTCACTTAATGATTAAAGCTCTATATTTCACTTAGTTTGCGAAACATGTATACTTCTCTGTACATCAACTAGTGTCTTCATGAATCAATGTCATGTTATACATATGAGATATGAGTTTAGACTTTACTTCAAACTTAGTTTGCATGTTTCATTAAACCAAACTTTTATATTTTGCTTGATCCTAACTGTCCATTCCATTCGCCCTACTTATTCACAAGTGACACATACATACGTACTCATATCCTGAACATTATTACAATAACAAGTCATGTTTTGGTCACCATTTATAATTACTAAAACAAAATATAAAATGTATACTAATCAAATGTATAATTTTAGTAAAATTATTTTACTACATAATTTGCAGTATCAAACTGATTGTATCTAATAGACTTAAATATTAGATATTTTCTAGGTAATAAGGAATAGGTAAGCTTAAATATAAACAATTACAGTTTGTCTTGAAAAGTATTTCTTGTAAACGAAGTCTTTAGCTTATTGAAAATATCGACAGTTACAAAGATAAGTAGTTTGTATTTCCATGAATTCAGAAAATTTCTAAATG